TTTTTTTTTTCAAAAATCAACAACGATAAAAAAAACTGACGTTTCAAGATTGGTGATAACGAACATCTGCACGAAACGCATGGCCATACAAAGCGAAGCAGCAAAACGATCAAATTTCGGCAGAGCGTAGAAGCGATAGTTCTTGTCTGGAATGCTGCTAATTTTGCACTCACACATCCCGTGGAATATACGAGCCTCACTGCTATTTTCAAAAGCTGAGCCTCTTACGCCGGTGCTTTCATAATTCTCACCACTCGTTTTTACGTGTTTTGTGCCGTATAACAGCGGCACGAAACGCATATTGTCACGAGATTGTCTGTGTGTATGTGTGTGTCTGCTTCTGTGTCTGTGTTTCTGAGTGCATTTTGTCCCGCACTTTCAACTCGTGAACCGTGGGAGCTAGGAAGCTGAAGTTTTATGGCTATGCCCTCTGACCACATGCGACCCAGGAAATTAAAATTCAGTCTTTCCGTGCCCGTGGGCAACATGTATGGCTCCGCAAAATTTTTGGCGGAGAAAATTATTATCTCGGGAACCAAGAAAGCTAAGAAGCTGAAATTTTATGGGTATGTCCATTATCGGCGTGCAATCTAGAAAATTTAAATTCAGCTTTCCAGTGCGCTTTGGTATCACGTACGGTCCCGTGAAAGTTTTGGCAGAAAATTATTATCCAGGGAACCATTAAAGCTAGGAAGCTGGGATTTGATGAGGGTGTTTCCTGCCCACGTGTAACTCCGTGAATTCAAAATCAGTTTTCAATCTAGCACAGATTTCGATTACGCCTTCGTGAAAGTTTCTGCAGAAAAAAATCACTGTCTCGGAAGCCCAAAAAGATAGGAAGCTGGAATTTTGGGAGTATGCGGCCTCGCACAATCAAATTTACATTTCACGTACGCTTAGATCTCTTATGAGGCCCCACAAAAGTTTTGGTGGGGAAATTATTATCTCAAGAACCAGAACAACTGTGAAATTGAAATTTCAGGAGGATGTTTTTTGCCTGCACAGATACTTCACAAACTCAAATTTAGCCACCAAGTATGACAAGGTCTTAAATACGAACACCTGAGTGTTTTGATGCAAAAATCAGTGGCTTGGAAGTCGGAAAACTGAAAAGTTGAAATTTGGGAGGATTTCACCCTTCTAAGGTTTCAAATTCAGCTTTCGCGTCCCGGCACGTGAAATTTTTAGTAAGAAATTCCACAACTTTGGAGAGAGACAACATTTCGCAGTGAAAATCCCTAGCAGGGAAAAGTCCGCTGACAGAATTGCACAAAATGCATGATCACACCGGACAAAAACCGTATGAAAATCCAGAAAATCCTCAGTCTGGTGCGCGCCGCTATTTAACATTTTTCATGTACTCATAAGTGTGGCCCATAGCGCCAGGTGGGGATGCACTGCGGCGACCAGTAAACGGTAAAAAGTATGTGGGCGCAGTATGGACTTTTATAAAAAATGACTGGCTAACTTTTTTGTTCCAGAGCAATCTTGGATCGCCTGTCAACGTCAACATAGTGCTCTCGAAAAATGGTCTGGACAAAAATGAGACCAGCGGCATTCATCAGCAAGCAGAATATCGGAGGAGCTGTATACATGTTAAACTTGATGGCACCGGCAATCTGCCATCCTGGGTAGCCGAGTGGCGAAAATGCTATTTGAAATGCTGCAAAAATCGATGCATCAAAGCATTTGCTAAAGCTCATTTCATGCTTTTACTGACCAAAAGAATAGTCACCTGATCAGTTCGACCTCCGAAGCATATAAAAATCAGATTTAGAAACGTTTTAACAAATGGAAAAGAGCATTAAAAGTGGCTTTTAAAATTTGCTTTTTCAGAATTTTCCCTGAATTAAACCAGTTAGTTTCTTAAACTTTAGGAAGTAACGTTCCAAGGATTAACCATTTCTTTGAGTTTTAATGAAATTTCATCTAAGATTTGAAAATTTTTAGAAGAGAGAGCCTGAGGAAAGTCTAAGAGTGGCAGACAGTAGTGTCTTATAATAAATATTTTGAACTTTTTAAAAAGGCTTTACAAAAAGCTGTAAGTTGATTTAATGACACCCATACAATCAGCTTTTTCAATTTCTTTACCACAAAAGTAGTAAATATGCCTTCCTAATCTTAAGCAGAAGTTTGCTAAAGAAGTGTTTCATTAATCGAGGAATTAAATTCAAATTGGTAAGAGTAGCACTGTTTGCATAAAGTTTGCACATTTTTACTAGACGCTTATCGGGCCGAAAATATCGTGTTGCAACCAAATAGGGCCAAAGGTCAAAGGTTAGCCAAGAAATCCTCATTTTACTATTCATATCAAAAAATCTTAAAAAAAAAAAATTAACCTGGTCCGAAGGAAAGGCCTAATGCCAAAGCACCGGTGTTGACCGATAATGCTCTTGCCCTGTCCTTTGGTGAACTTGCCATTATTGCATAGGACCGCATAACACTCATAATTCCTGAAATAAGCTTCACATTTGAAAAAATTGCCTAATTTCGTAACAGCGATCTTTAGAAGAACTGGTGCTGTATGAATTTTCTTTCAGATTTTTAACCATTTCTTTGAACTAATTTTACTTCATTCCATGTTCAGCACGCAGACTGCCTTATAGCATTCCATTCAACTGCTGATATCAGTTAAATGGTGCTCAAAACACAAACATGCAAATCTGCCTACCATGTACTTGAAGACCGTTTAAAATGTGAAAAGTTACAGGTTTAATAGTAAATTTTTGCGCCGTTTTATAAATCAGTGGTTTATATTTTCAGAGATAGAACATTCATGCTTATTTGATCGCACAATTGAAAATTCGTTACAGTGGGTATCACACACACAAGCAGCGTTTCATGATTACACGTGTTCGCATTTGCTTAATTGGAAAAGTGGCTTGAAAACAACTCACGTTTTAACCATTTCCTATCCGCAAACAGACAAGCTAGAAGGAGGCTGGACTAAGAATTCAGCCATTGGAAATTTATTTACTCAGAAGCTTAAAATTAAACTTGTTAGGTCGCTGAGTTCCAAGCTAAGATCTCACATGAATAGTAGGCAAATTTGCACATTTGGCAACGAGGAAGTTGATGAATAGCAGTGGGTAAACTTTGCCATTTTTTGTTTGGCAGCCCTCTTTGCAATCCGATGAGCAGATTATAAGCGGAGAAAATAACGCAAATACTTGCGAGAAAATAAAGTCAGTTTCTTTCACAGTTCAATAAAACTTTGAAAATAAAATAAGCGAAGATTAAAAAGAAGAACTTTGATAATAAATAAAGTTTGAAAATACGCGAAGTAAGCCAAAAAGGCCACCTGCACCGCATCCATTGATGAAACGACAAACAAGCATTGTATATCGCTGGTTTGAGTGCATCAGATCAATTGTCAGATAGAGAACATTGCCGAGGAACATCAGGATCAAGCCGACAGACACCGGTAGCTTGGTCTTATTGATGCGCGTACTCCAGAAACCAAATACTGGATTTGCGACTGCTTGTCCCAAGCTGTAAGCCGCTGTTATGTATCCGAAAAATGACTCCGTTGCATATTCATCAACCTTAAATGAAACTGAGAAGTGATTAATGTCTTTTTTTAAAATAAATTTAACAAATTTGGGCTTAACGATTTGATTTTTTTTATACACAAAAAAAAAATGACTCCTGGCGGGGGTGCCTAGGCTGTTTTGGAAATCTTGCATGCTAAAAACTTGAGCATCTTTTTTTTTCGCAACAGATTCAGATCACGGATTTAGTATGTGATCCTGAAATGGATTTTCGGAATTAGTACTAGTATCATGAACATTTCGAATCGAGCATCAACTTTTCTCGCTGCATACTAATTTGTTGGATTGAGAAGCGACTGGAGACCTGTTTTGAAGCAAAGTAACAATGATCCTACGCAGCTTGATTCAAATAATTCAAAATTCATCAACTTTTATCGAATCCAATTTGCTGCGAGAAAGGAGGGAGCACCTCTCGCTTTCTTTTGGATTTCCATCTGCTCCGCACTGATTAGTACCTGCTGTAGGTATGGCCACAGTGATGTGAAGAACATGCTGAACTGCACTGCACCGGCAAATGTTATGGCGCTGATCAATTCGATGGATCGCCAGTCCGTAATTTCTTCCGTTGTTGGCTTGATTTCGGTTATTGCACTCACTGCACCATTACTAAATAGAAAGAACGGCGAAATCAATCCTGAATTTTTATTTTTTAGCAAAGTGGAGGCTGATTTCGGAAGCTGAAAACAAAAAATATCTCTCGTAAAATAGAAAACCTTTGAGGCAAAGCGGTAGAGTCTTTTTCAGTTTGAGGAATCACTTTTCCGTTGCTTTTGTTAGAACCTGCATCGCTTGATTCCAGCAATTCTTTATTCGAAATGCTCATGATGTCGGTTTCAGTGGATTGAAAACGATTCCTTCAGCGAAAAAGATTTCGCCTCGTTTTCCATCTAACCAATCATTTATGCACAACGAATATACTCCTGAAATTTGATGAGGAATTAACGACCGATAAGCGAACCGATGGACTTTGTGCAGGTCAACAGATGTAGAAGACTGCGCTTCTGCGCCACTGCTTGCAAATCAATTAAGCCTGTTCAGCTAGCGGTGCATTATGAAAGCCGGATGCAAAATCCAAAGGCCAAGGGTATTATTGCGCAACAGGCGATCCCCAAATGGACCAGGTGTTCGAAACAATGAGGAACAGCTAATGCGAAAGAAACACACTGCTTACTGTCTAGTAAATGAGGAGGGTTACTGTGTAATAGGGCATTAGTAGAATGCACTGGCTAGCAAGGGGCAAGTGGTGTATGCAGCAGAAGAATGGCCGCTAGCAGTGCTATAGGAGTAAATACGCACTTCTCTGAATGTGATGGTCAGTACGACCAACGACCGAGGTTAAGATCAAAATGCAAGCAACAACTGATGCTTTTGAACTTTATGACAATCAGAATCCTAACAAATCTTAAATTTTTAACTTGCCACTGGGTTACTCAAGAGTGAATTGAGGGCAGTGAACGAGATGGGGAAAGGTTTAGGAGAGAGAGAGAGTGCTGGAGCCGTGTGGTGAAAATTAATAGTATCATTTAAATTTGTTAAATTTCACAATTGTCATTATCATCATTTTCAATAAC